TCTTAAGCCCTAAGGGGTTTTCTTGATGTTTGTGCTCAAAATACCATTTTGAAATGTAACTGAGTGTATCTCAGAATTTACAAACTACTTAAAAATCTTAGTATCAAAATAAAGCCAACACTTGGGAGATTTTAGCAGAAGTGTAAACATTAAAACAGCTGCTGTGGTTTCAGAAATATTACGAATGGAACATGATTTTACTTTTTTTCACTCTCACCTGAATAATTTTTGCATTAGATAGTATATAACCCATTTAAAACCATAATGAATAAGGTGAAAAACTCTTAGAAACCACAAATCCACTTGTGGACATTACCTGTGCAAAGATTCATGTTGCTAAAATGAACTGGAGCAAAGTTACAAAGGTTTTAGTAAAGAAATAATTTTGAATCTGAAGTTTTTAATTGCAAAAGTTATTCATTTTTTTCTTACCTGTCTGAAAAGACCTGTTATTGAATGTTTGTTCTTTTGAAAAATTATCCAAACATTTATTTGTCACCATACAGGCCTGTAGATGAAATAGGCTAATGAGAAATTATATTTGACTTCAGTTGGACCATATTCCCTCAAAACCAAGTAAAAATAATTTTCAGCACACTTTATAACCTATTTGGGTATCTATTTTGACTTGCTTTATAAAAATGTAAAAAAAAATTCCTTTACAGATTTGCTTGTATGTATTTACAGATTTGCAAAGATGCCATTTTGTACAGTTGGTTTACTTTCTGATTCAACTGCTTGACGTTTGAACTGTGTTTGGTGAATGTAAAAATAGTTTCTATGAACTTTTAGCCAAGATTCGTAGGTTTATTTTGATACCAAACATGTCCATGYTCAACTGACAGATCTTAAGTTAAGAAGTTAAAAGAAATTGAAAACCATCCAGCTTTCTGAGGCCCCCAATAGCGTCCCCACTTTGGGAACTCTTGGACTAATATACAGTACAGCGGGTAAAATAAGTATTGAACACGTCACCATTTTTCTCAGTAAATACATTACTAGAGGTGCTAATGACATGAAATTTTCACCAGATGTCGGTAACAACCCAAGTGATTCATACAAACAAAGAAATCAAACCATAAA